CACAATATAAGAGGTAGATATAGCAAGAAGAACAAGAGAAACAAATAAAAGGAGCAAGAAGCAAGAAAGGGAAATATGAAAACGACCTCATTGCAAAAATGGAAGAGGTGCAACCCAGAACAAATATCCGAAGAGACGAAAGGGGCTAAATATGACTCTCAAAACATAAAACGCATCTGGAAACAATTTTTCCAAAGACTACTTGCAATACAAGAGAAACCTGAAGTCAGGACCCCAGGAATGAATGATATATCCTCGAAAATCTATAAACTAGTCTTCGTAGATTTCAAACAGAGTTATGCCTTAATGGATAGATATAAACTGTATTAAATACAGATCGAACTGGCGATACCATATACATTAATCAGAATGGCAAAAGCAACAACTGTAGACACAGTAACAGTGGTACGAAACCTAAACCAACTAACTATGTTTAATATCTCAAAAGGCTTAAAACAAGAAGACAAGTTAACTTCTACCTAATTCAATCTAGTTCTAGAATACATAGTAAGACAGATAGATATTAGAAAGGAAAACCTACTAACTAATAAGACCCTACAACTGGTAGCCTATGTGGATCATATTAATATCATGAGTCGTAGGGGCGACGTCTCAGGACAAGGGACAAGCATACTCAAAATTGACACTACATGCCAAACGTATCACTTATACAAAAAAAGAAAAGAAGAAAATATGGAGACATCGGATCACTTCATATACCTAAGCGTGGAACTGAATTCAGCTGATACAGAAAAAGAAGGAATATGCAGAAGAAAAATACAATTAACAAAGCCTATTTAGCAATAGCAAGCTGCGAGTTTACAAAACAGTAATAAGGCCTACTGCAAACTATGCAAGTTTCACTTTGTAACATTTAGATGTTAAATCCAAGAAAACCGGCAAATACATATTTATATTATACAGACTATAATTTAAACCGAAATCTAATAAGATTGTATTTTGTTGGAATGATGCAACATAAATTGTGTTTTAAACAAACCTATTCTATATGTTTACTACATAATATGTAGAATATAACAATCATAAATTCCTATCTATCTCGAACAGTAAAAGCAAAATCAGGTCGTCACAGATTGCAATGATAATCTGTGGTGGTAATGGAAAACCCTTGTCTCCAAATTTCAATAAAAAATGATAGCGCGATATTGCCTGCGGTATAAAAATTTCTCTCATAAGATTTCAGTTAGAACTAAAGATAATCTTAGAACTTCGAGATGATTGCATGAAATATTAACCTAAAATGATGAAGGAAATTAGAACGTATTTGGAAGGCCAAAAAGGTCGACAGAGGGAATATAAAAAGAAGGCAAGTCAGAATCAAGAAATCGAAAAACAATTGAGATGTCAGTAATATTAAAGGAGCTAGAAAAAAGAAATCAAACTGGAAACTAATCTGTTAATCTGGTTTGCGGTTAGATTAAAGAAAAATAGAAATAAACAAGAATCTGGAAAATGTCAGAAAATCCAGAATGAAGCAAACAAAGAATATACAATAAAGAGAAAACAGATCCACAGACAAGGAAGCTAAATAACATTGAAGGATCCTACGAAATTTTCGAAACATAAGAAAATTTTATTAACAGCTAAAAGAGCAAAGAAAGAACTGCCAAAAAACAATTTGCTCTATATGCCGGAGTAAAAAATATTGCAGTTGTGAATTTAAGCACAGAAAGGATATCGTCTTGGATAATGTGATGAGTTACGTTTCTGATTCTAGCCCAGATCTGATCCTAAGCTTTACTCTGTTGTTGCTGTAATTGAAATCAAAGTCAGTGTGTAAATCGTTTTTTCTAAAAACTCTCAATGTTTGCAAGAAAANCAAGTCAGAATCAAGAAATCGAAAAACAATTGAGATGTCAGTAATATTAAAGAAGCTAGAAAAAAGAAATCAAACTGATCTGATAATCTGGTTTGCGGTTAGATTAAAGAGAAATAGAAATAAACAAGAATCTGGAAAATGTCAGAAAAACCAGAATGAAGCAAACAAAGAATAAAGAGAAAACAGATCCACAGACAAGGAAGCTAAATAACAATGAAGGATCCAACGAAACTTCTGAAACATAAGAAAATTTTCTTAACAGCAAAAAGAGCCAAGAAAGAGCTGCTTACTCAATAATAAGCCAGAAGCAAACAAGAAACGCATAATCAAGTCAAAAACTAGGGAAACACCAAAAAGAAAACGTTTCAAGGACCGTAGAAGGAACGAAGTATGAATAAAGTAGAGTAAAAACTTGAAAAAGTAGGTATCAGATGACGGAAATGAGAGGACCCCAAAGGAAGCTATCTAACTACATTGTAAGTTACATTGTCCGCCATCGTAACTCAATTTTATTACTGAATAAATTTAAATTTATTTCGAATTTGATAGTTATGAGAGTGGTGAAAACTGTGTGTCTGATACAGATGATACAAAAAAGATTTAGATGGAATAGTTCAGATCGAAATCAGTTAAAAAAAAGAAAAGGTGAAAAGCGTAAAATGAAGCAGCCAAAAAATAATTTGCTCTAAATGCCGAAGTAAGTGTACGGTAAAAATTTAAACAAAAAATCGAAATTCAAGTTGCAAAAAGTATTGTAGTTATGATTTTTAGCACAGAAAGAATTTCATCTTGAATAATGTGTTGGGTTACGTTTCTGATTCTAGCCCAGATCTGATCCTAAGCTTTACTCTGTTGTTGCTGTAACTGAAATCAAAGTCAGTGTGTAAATCGTTTTTTCTAAAAACTCTCAATGTTTGCAAGAAAACAGTAGAACTCGCATTCAAGAAGAAAGTATTTGTCAAATGGTTTAGATAAAACGGTAGAATTAGAAACTGAATACCAGGAACATGTAACAAGAAAATAAGACTGTAACGTAGCAAAACCGTTTAATCTGTTTTGTGTGCTACAAATCCCAATCAAAGACGTCGATCCTATGTATTATAGCAGGAAAACTTGCATGTACAATCTTACGATATATGATTTAGCTTCACCCAGCCCTGAATTCTGTTATGCGTGGGCAGAATTGAATGGTAAAAGAGGCAGTGTAGAAATTGTAACTAAGTATATAAATCAGCTTCCTAGTACAATGATAGAGCTAACATTTGCAGTAGTCAGAATTGAAATTAAAATAAAAGTTTCTCGAAACCGATCATTGCAAAATGGAAGTAGACAGCATACTCAGATAGAAAGAAACCAAAATAATGTTCCTGTTTATAGCATTTATGATTGATTAACAATTTTGTGTTTGGCCAAAACATATAGGACTAATAAAATGAAATTTTCCGATTTCCTTGATCTAGAACAGCTTTAAAAATCACCGTTAAAAACAAGCTAAAGGACACAACATAATGAATATAGAGCAAAAGTTTCTCGAAACTGGTCATTGCTACATAGTAGACAGCATACACAGTGTGATAGAAAGAACCCAAAAGTATGTTCTTGGTTATATCATTCATGATTGATTAAGAATTTTCTGCTTGGCCAAAACATGTAGGCTTAATGAAATGAACTTTTCCGATTTCCGTGATCTAGAACAGCTTCCAAAATCATCGTTAAAAAAACAAGCTAAAGGACACAACATAATGAATATAGAGCTAAAGTTTCTCATAGCCGGTCATAGCTACATGGAAGTAGACAGCATACACAGTGTGATAGAAAGAACCCAAAAGTATGTTCTTGGTTATATCATTCATGATTGATTAATAATTTTCTGCTTAGCCAAAACATGTAGGCTTAATGAAATGAATTTTTGTGATTTCCTTGATCTAGAACAGCTTCCAAAATCATTGTTAAAAACAAGCTAAAGGACACAACATAATGAATATAGAGCGAAACTCTCGAAACCGATCATAGCTACATTTAAGTAGATAGCATACATAGTGTGATAGAAAGAATCCAAAAGTATGTTCTTGTTTATATTATTTATGATTGATTAACAATTTTCTGCTTGGCCAAAACATGTAGGCTTAATGAAATGAATTTTTGTGATTTCCTAGATCTAGAATAGCTTCCAAAATCACTGTTAGGAAACACGCTAAAGGACATCTCGTGTAAGAAAGGAAACTGGTTGAAGGTAAAATATAAATTGATAAGACCACAATTCCTAACACAAAGATATGTTTGTGTGTCAGAAAGGAAAAAGGCATCCTTGTAAAATAGCTGATTTTGCAATAAGCCTGATAATGAAACACCACTTATTTGCACTATGTAAAGGCGAAACCTTCCCCAAAGAATTTTCCTGTTTTTATAAAAATTTTGTCGAAATCTCATAGATGCCATTCCTGATCGCAGTTTTCCATTTTTTGCAATACAAATAGCTGTATCTACAGATAAAAACCTTTTGTTTATATTTCCTTACATTATAACTTTGTTGTTTAATAAACTTTTTCTACAAAGTTAACATTTATCTTTCAATCTGATTTTTTAAAAGTGTTTAAAACTGAAAATGCTAATTATTCAAATCTTTATTTTGAAAATTTTGTCAGTAACTTGACTTTATGTTAAATGTTATATTGAATTTCAGAGTTAAATAGAAATATATTGCAACGTTTATGACTTATTTTAATAAACATGCGATTCCATATAGCCCCAACATTAAACATGCAAATTAATTTCATAAATACGCTTTTGACGTACTAATAAGTGCTACAACCTAATGAATACGTATATTACTTTGATTTCGAAACATCATTTGAAACTACTTCGAGCTTTCAATCAAATATAATTTGAAATCATTTTGAATCGGTTTAAATCTATTCTATTATCTTAATTTAAAAAACTGCATTAAAAAATCATCTATTGTATGGGTTATCTTAAAACAGTTTTAGTTGTGCTCATTTCCTTTTTATTCTCTCCTATTAATCATACTTTTTAGACGTGTAGTATCGAAATCAATTAATCCCAGAGCAACATCGTTCAACAGAACACACACACTAACACCACTCGTACACGGCCAGATAACGAACGAATTGCCACGTTATCTGAATGAGATATCAGAAACCGATCACTCTTCCCAGTTTTCGTCACGGTCTACATCAAATAGACGTATAAAATTTAAAATAAGCAATTTGAGAAAAAGATTAATTAACAAAAAAAAATTGAGTGAAATTATTAATTGTGATGTCGCGTTTTTATTTATATAAAATTTCAATAAAATGAAATCATCGTTTTTGGACTTGTTGTGTTGTAGATCGATAAGAGATCCTGGCGTTTTTACAACCGGCCCCGGTTATTATCGTAGGAAAACTATGAAAATGGATGATTTAAGTGTGAAACAGTTAACCGCGAATGAAATTAACGGTGAAAATAGTATGGGTGTTGAAAAAAATTTTGAAAAAAAATTAAAGACTATTACTAAAGAATCTGGCGGTCATCAAAGTATTTTAAAATCTTACGAGGTGAGTTGTGACAGCGTTGAATATCGACATCGGAATAAAAAATTAATAAAAAAAAATGTTGTTCGGAAATCATTTAGATTGCGATAACGTTGAATTTTTTTTAAATCCTTATCGCGATAAGACTATAACAGGCAAAAAAATTTAAAAATTAACATGTATTTGAAAATTAATTAAACAAATTGATTTTAGACTTTTGACAATTTAATGAGTTTAAATTTTTTTTTAAGTTTCAAGAAGGTTATTTTGACGCTTTCTAATTAATTGACGTTTTTTTTTTAAAAATTCTATAAAGAAGAAAAAAATTAATGAAATTGAAATGTTTAAAGTATCGTTTGATAGTTTCAAATTGATTAAAAAACGTAAAACTGTGCAATTCGATAAAAGCACATCCACTACGAGTACTTTAACAATGGGTTCTTCGAGCCAAACGAATGATGATGTTAGTAACAAAACGAAGAGTATTAATCGATCTTGTTCGAAGAAATTAATAACGTGTAGTGTTCGATCTTTTACGAGAATAAGAAAATTGCGTAAGATTAGAATGAAACTAAAGGTAAAATTATTTTTTTTTTTATTTCTTTAAGATAAATATTAAAAACAAATTAAACGTCATGGATAATTTCGTATGAAATCGATTCTTAACGATCGGAATCTTATATTGAACAACTTTTATTTTTATCTGTGTGGATCTTTTGTCAGCGATATCGAATAAAATGGAACAACGATTTAAAAGTATCTTATCGTTATTAGGAAGTTGTATTGGTGATTATTTCATCCTATACTTAACAATTTATTGATTGATATTTACTTTTTTTTAAAGAAAACTCATTTTAATTCTTGAATTATTTTTCTTGGATACTCATAGAAAGTAAAATGAATTTCTAGTAAATCTAATCAGCTATAAGGCATCCAAATCAACTAGATTTATGCGGCAAAATTGACTCCCATTACTTGGAACAAAGATACAGCAAATAAGTGCTGTTTTATGTTTGCCCAACTCGATAAAGTTTTGATTAACAATTTCAGCTTGTTCAAATAGTTCATAGCAGTGCTTTATAATTATATAGGTTTGTTTACTTTTCCGTGATATTTGCACAATTCGTCTCTACCTCCAAGTCCTTTGTGTATTTTTATTTTCTTGCATATACGAAGTATATTAAGAGAGGGTATGAAGCTATAATTTGTCACAAGATTATGCCCAACAGCCCAAAAAACAGATTTGCAGTTCAAGTTGGAATAATTTACTGTGAAGTTCATAAATTTATTAATGATAACAAGTTATCCAAAAGTATCATCTTAACGCATTGTGGCAGGAATTCAATTTCTTTATTTCTTTATTTAAACATATAACGTATGTTTGTCATCTTATACTGCTGGAAAAAAGTGGATATTGCTGGCAGAGGATTAAATACTATTAATGGAAGAGTAGATACTATTTATAAAATGCAACTTACTGCATGAAGAAGAGTAGCAGAAAAGGAGATATTACTTTCAGACCACTATGTAGTGATGGCTGAAGGCCAGATTATTCTTGCAAAAGACTAGATACTTCGTTCAGAAGATTTACTACCAATAAAAGAGTAGATAGTGATCATAGAAAATTACTTACTACTTGTAGAACACTACCTACAGCTTGCAGAAGACTAGATTGCTGACAGAACACTAAATACCGTTAATAGAAGACTATTTACTGCCTGCGGAAGACTAAATATTATTGTCAGAAGACTAGTACTGTAAGCAGGAAGATAATATTATATGAAAAAACTAGATACTGCTAGCAGAAAATTGTCTACTGCTTCTAAAGACCTACTGCTTACCTTTCGCAAAAGACTAGCATTCAGAAGACATTAGAGATCAATATCTTCGCAACCGATCGATAAGAAAAAATGCGACAAAGTTTGTTATAATTACTGAACATTTCTACGTAACATATGTTAATTTGAAAATTTTCGGATCCGCGGTTTTCTTTTTATCGCGAGTTAAATGAAAAAAGTGTCCGATTTTTTACGGTGCCGGAAACTTTGTCCACTTTACAATTTTTTTCTCAAAAACTATCTGGCAAAAAAAATTTAATTTTGAACAGATGGTAGCCTGATGTGCTCTTAATGAGGGGCATATTTTATTTTTTCGATATTCCATATGATTTCGTGAAAAATCGCGATTTAGTAAGACGCCGTTATGTCAAAAACGGCTGGGTGGATTTCAACGCGGTTTTGATCAAAATATGTCAAATAATTGCGTTTATTGGATACCGTAATCTGTTATTCAAAGTTATGTCTCTCTAATTTTTTTGAGCGATTTAAGCGAATTATAAATTTAAAAGAAACAGAAATAAGCCGTCCAATCGGAAAAAATGGTCCTGGTGTGCGTTCCAGAGACAGGATGTCGCGCCTTTATTTCTTTATGAAGGTAACATAAAGGCGCGACGTACTGTCTGGAACGCACCAAATTTTTTTTATCGAACGGTTGCGAAGATGTCGATCGTCGCAGTCTAGATAATATGATTACTGTATTTTAAAACGCTTCAGGTAAAAGTGTCACATAACTACGACGCGATTTCATCGTCCTTCAAGCTTCGCACACCTTACTACATGCAGAAAACTATACTACTGCTGGCTAGGAGACGAAATATTCCTTGCAGAAAGCTGCATACTAGTACTAGCAGGAAATCAGATACTGCTGATATAAGACAAAATATTGCTAGTGGAACACTATTAACTGCCTGCAGAAGACGAAATATTGTTGTCAAAAAATTAGTGCTACAGGCAAAAAGCTAGTTTTATAGGCAAAAACTAGATACTGCTTGTAGATGTTTGTTTACTGGTTGCAGTGGATTACCTTCTGCTTGCAGAATACTAGATACTACTAGCAGAAGACTAATATTGCTTGTAGAAGACTAAAAACTGATAATGAAAAACTAATTATGATCAGAAAAATAATTATAATTTAGATTTTAAATAGAGATCATTAAAAATATTTGTGACTCTAATATATCTAATTTGGAGTTTCTTTAGAACATTTAAAAAATGTATTAATGATTCGTTAATTGTAAAATTTAAGACTTTTATAGTTTTTTATTTTACGACTTTTTAACTTCATACATATAAATCATTAGGGAACTGACGCATGTACATAGACGTTAAGTGGGTTGTCTGTTGGAGAAAATACGATTTGGAAAATAAATGTCACCGCGTTGCGTTTCTGCTCGTTGTCAGTTTCCAATTGTATGCGAAAGAAGGTTTTATCGAGACGGTCGCTTATTGTATATTGTTGTCCTCTTGGCATTTTTGAGCTGCCTTTTGAATTTCGTTGAATTTATTATATTGTTTGTTAGATGTGGGTGCTTTGTTCCTAGATAAAGCATGTAAGATCTCCTCTTTGTGAGAATGCGAGGATTTAGTATTGTGAAGGTATTAGAAATATTTGAAAGGAATAAAAATCCTAAATATTTAGTTTGCTTTAATCTTTTTAGAATAAATTTAAATGATTTGCACGTTCTTAATATCATGCATTTAACATTTAGTGTAAATTAAAATTTAAATTAAAAATATGTATAAATGAATAACTTTCTTCTATAATTGGTTATTCCACTTAACGTGGCTTATTGTTAACTTTGGTACCAAGAAAAAGAATTTTTTAAATTGTAATTATAAAAATCAATATCTTTAAAACTCCTAGATCAGAATTAAACATGAATGAGATTTAGAAATTTTTCATTATTGATATTTATGGTATAGTTAATCCAAACAACTATTTGAAATGTGCTTCGCATTGCACCATCAGTTTCGCGAAACTATGCGTGTTACAAGAAATGCTAATGGTTTACCAAGACATACAGTTGAACTAGAAGAGCAAATTCTAAACGCAGTACAAGAAATTTCGAGCAGTTGAAAACTTAATTAAACATACACTTTGGAACGCGTTACTTTGTTAAATGATGGCACATTTAACACAAATTTTCATTGAGCACACGAAAATCTGCATCTATTTCAGGGTATATGGTTATCAAAGAACGTTTTTTGTTATTGTTTTGTTGGACGTAGTTGGGCTAATTTAGTTACTAAGAAGATTTTCCCAAGTTATACCCGAAACGTAAAAGATCTCTTAATAATGGGAAACTTTATGCAATGCCTCTTCAGGATGTTAAAAAAAGGACATATTACTACAATAATCAGAATTATTTAACATCTTACAATTAATTCATCTATGTGAAATTGTGTAATAAAGAAAGTAATTGGAATTGACTTTATCCAGCATACCTGATCTACTACTCAAACTATATGATATTGAAATCTTCGACGATCAATAGTGAAGTATTAGAATATTAATCGTGCACATCGCGATGTTTCAAAACAAACATACTAAAAAGGCGGTATTTGGCAAATTTAACGGACAATCACCCATGTAGCGTAAAACAGCCATAAATCTTCAGAACCCGTCACATTGGCCAATAGGCTATATATCAAAGATCAGGTTCGCCATTTGCAATATTTCATAATTAGCATCCATCCCGACAGAAATGACTCAGTTGTAACAAACAACTCTTTGTCATTCACAGAACTTTTACTATCATTCAAAATTTTTCTCTATTTGATAGTAGATCGCAGAAGAAGTCAGTGCAGATTTACAGAAATAACTCTAAGAACTCCACAGATATAAATAATGTTTTTTTGAAAAGTTTTTACGATGTCAAAAGATAAAAGAAGAAGTCATAGACTTAAGTCGTCATTTCCTTTCTCCTGAATACCCAATAAAATTACTTTATTTATCCTAGAGTAGTACTCAACGCAAAATAGCAGTTCGGAGAAGACACTGTTCAACCTGACGTTCTCTCCAGACATCATTTTAATAAACAGCATACTATCCCGAAACATTCAAAATGTTCTGAAACCGTTAATCTTCTCTCCATAAAAAATAAGGGATTTCAACAATTCATCATATCCTTACATCTGCTTCTATCGATTTCAAATTTGGATACAATTTAATGACATTAGGAAAAGTTCGTTAAAAGAGTAGAGCAGAATAAAAGTCAACAATCATCCAGCAATTTTCACCATCTCCACACACTGGACGTTTTCAAAATACACTTACAGTTCTGTAATAAACAGATCTGCAATGTTCTTGGGCTGTACAACGATATGCTCAAAAATTAAATATTAAATCAACTCGACCAGTTCTTACATGGGCCAGTTTTTAGTTTTTCTATACAAAAGATGTAATGAAGATAGCAAAAAATAACGATTTTTAATAAATGCGATATGACACTTTTTAGCACTAATGTCTCATTTGGAGGAGTAGCAAGGAGAACGTGGTTACAGATGTTTTTGTATTAAAAACGACAATAAACACGAAAATAAATGTCGGAGAAATAGAAAACACATTAGTCAGCACTGATTCACACTCCAACTCTAAGTTTATCGTGATATGAATCTAATTGATAAAAAATAATTATTTTACTGAATGAAACATTTATTAGATTCTGGCAGCTATGAGTGCTCATGGTGTATTAGTTGCCCATTTATATTAATTATTGAAAAAACTTAAGTCCACTCACGTATTGGAAGAACTTTTAGTTCAAATTTTTGCAAAAATTCACCACAATCCTTTTTCCATAATGTTTTGATTAGCAATGAAGCATTTCGACCAACAAATTTACAATCACCACCATTATTATTGGTACAATGAGAAGCCTATATTGTACGTTGGCGAAATCAGCAAAAATGTTGTGCTTGAATGTTTGAATTGGCATTTTTGAAAGACAAATCATCGATTTATATTTTTTGTCAACAATACTGAATCACGAAAGTTGCAGTAATGTTTACGAGTACATTTTTCGAGATCTCTTATAAAACATTCCTTTATTGCAAGAATTTGCAACAGTCTTTTTCAACACGATCGTCGTTTTCCTAAAAAATGAGTTAGCCTAATAGGTAGACCTATAGCATGGCTATCCCATACAGAAAGAAAAGATATAAATATTTTCATGGAAAGTATTACTATTCTGCTTTCAGCAGGTATAGCATTTTTACGTCATTCTATTATATACCCTGTTAATCTTTAATATGATTTTATTGTTCTAATATCACATGATTTTGATTTTAAGTCCTTACATTGGTGTGATCTTTTTTATTTTAATTTTGATAACGCTTTCTAGCTAATGTTCCAAAATGTTTTATTTGTTGTTTTCTGGCTGATAATAGAGTTGGAAACTTAACTGATTGATATGTGTGTCATACTTATTTTGCACTTACGCTTATATAGATAACCTTTTAAATATACACGACCGCATCATTCAAAAGGCCAAATAGCATTAATTAAATATTCATGTAGTTGTAAAACCAATACGTGGATATTCACGAATTAATTTATCGTTATTGATACGTTCTCAAAGGTTATTATGATCCAAAGCAGTTAGTTTCTTTTGATTCTCCGTCGTGGTGTTGAGTATAGGCCATTCTCTCAGTACCAGTATTTTTATTTCTAATAGAGTATCAGTTGGGTTATTTTTCTATATCAACTTTGTAAACCACTCATACATAAAGATGTTATCCATAACTTCCTATTTGAATCATATTTTGCAAGATCTCAAACTTTTATCCCATCGAGATGGTTTCGACTTTATATATTATTTCCTTTATAAATTATATTGGTTTGATATGTGTAATTTTACGAAATTTAATTTGGGTGTACTACATATAACATATCTTTTTATTTTATTATTTTGTTTCTTCAAAATGATTTGAAATTCTTGAACGAAAATTATCACGACTATAATTTATGATATGTAGATAAAAACAAATAAAATTCTTATGTTATATAACTAAATTAAATAGTCATATCTATAAAGTAATAAAACTATAAATGCAACAAACTGTAATTTGACTTAAAACTTGATATTTTTATTCATTTAATATATTTTAAAATTTATTATATTATTAACAAATTGGTAATTATTATTTTCCAATTATTTTTGCCTTTAACTGTGTTATATTTTTAATTAAAACGATTTCTTATCGAGTTTCACCCAAAACGACCTTGAGGTGTTGTCGTATTATTATGACGACGAACCTGAGCAAAAATAAATCGGTTCGAAACGTTTTTCTTTTCTCTCCCATCGATAGTATTGTTCGCGTGTTAGTTGTATTCCAACGATAAGCATGTGTCGACACGTGTTTTATCTCATTATTTTTTACGAAAGATTAATTAGTTAACTTTTCCTGTTATTTTTAAAAACATCTCGACTCATTATTTTCAAATGATTGAAATAAGGATTATTCCACCGGATTCTAGCGATGAAAGCGACAATGAGCAAGATGTAGATATTTTTATTTTTGTTATTTTTAATTTTATAAATTTATTAATTTTATTAATTTTATTATTTTTATTATTTTTAGAAAAGTCATTATGATATCAGACAACATCACTTGATACCACCAAATAGAAGTCCATTATTGGTAAGTTTATTAATAAATTTAACATTTTTTTTTATTAAATTTTTAAAACCTTTAAAATTTTGAGTTTAGATTTTAATTGTAAGCAGTCAATATGATAATTCAATGGAAGCTTTATCGAGGGCAACCGAAAAACTCGGCCACGAAATAACATTTTGCGATTGTTATGATACGGCCTTAGAAGAATTCCAATCGAAATCGCACGATCTCATTTTTGTTGATACGAGGAACCCAAAATTGGAATACGACACTCTATGTAGGTGAGTTTAAATCATTTCAAAATTAAAATGAAAATTATCCCTTTTCTTGGTCTTTAAAAATATTATTTAAAAAGACTTTTTTGATAAAGTTAATTGTTAACACGCTCCTATCGTTTTGTGATAATAAAAACATTTTTAAACGTTTGAAATTCTTTACTAAACGCTTTTTTAGCCGTCGTTTTTTAAGTTTCACGCAATTTTTAAAATTGAAATAAATAGATATAAATTATTTTATTAACAATTTGATAATGATTTTGACATATTTATGTTTAAAATGATCGATAGCTAAAATTGAGCTATTTTCTTGTTCATTATCAATATAATGACATAACTACATAACTGTTTGCCTCGTGAACTAAAATATCTCCTTTTCATATTATGCAATAAAATACATTTGTTTAAAATGAAAATATAAATAAAAATATCACCAATAATGTGCGAATAAACCTCTCGGCAACCATTTTTTACCCTTATTTTTACACCTACTTTACTTGCCAGTATCTTCGTTGCTTTTAGAGATAGCAGAATATTAAACACTGCACTAGAAAGCCTGATCTTTTATTCATTTGGCAATATTCATGGGACCAATTCATCTCAAAATTTTCAAACTCTACCCCGTGTGTTGTCGTTATGGAACCGAATTAAAAAAACCTTCATCAATTTTCTGCTATATACGGCGCACATAATACGTTTAACCATAAAAACCACACATAATTGCATATAAAAAGGACGATGTATATAAAGTACTCCCACTTATAAGTTCATTCACGCTAAACCAAATTGGGTTCATCTTCATCCACTTGGAGATTTTTTTCTATTGATTCACTCGAATACATTAAAGCAGACGCTGTTCTCTCAGTTTTACTGGATGAAAATGCTAAATGTGCAAATTCCTTTACAATAATCTCGAGTCGTTGAAAATCATAAACATTTAATAAATGCCTCAGAATTCCTTTTAAAAATAACGTTTGTGTGTTTGGCTTTGTAATGTGTATTAACTGATTGATACATATTATTATGGATATGAGTACAATATATTTATAGTTGAACATATATAACAGTGGCATCTCTTTCACCCTCTCACTTACACTTTCACCTTATTCTGGTGTAATATTCCCTTCTTTCTTGTTGTCCATACTTCCCCACACCGGTGTTAATCTTCCTACAACACTCTCCCAAAATCATAAAGTCGTTCCTCTGCTTCAGCCCATCCTCATACTTTATCGCCCTTCTGCCTGCTTCTGCCCTCATCTTCTCCTGTTTCGACTCTTCTCTCACTATATATCCCGTAGTCTCCCTGCTCAACCTCAGGACCCACTACCAATATCTCTTCTGGATCACACTCCTCACCAATTCATCAAACATTATTTTCCATATCTGCCCCAATAATCTACTTGCCTTTCTAAATCTTTTGTAAAAATAAACCATTTAGAATTAGACAGGAAGTGGTAGTTTAAAAAATAACTGCCATGATGCTATTCTTGTTTGATCATGTCTGGATAATACGCACTTAACAATGAGAAGCAGCCTGTTCTTTGAAGGCAGTGTGCTATATTACACCTGTATAATACAAGATGCGCATACTGGATGAAATAGGCTTTCTTACCACACTACCTGTAGCATCTAGCTGCAAAGTAGTATTATTAAAGCTTTTTATAGCATTAACCTGTTCTTTACAATCAACACACAGAACTAAAAGTTGATCTACAAATTACATAAATTCCATATGATCTCTTTCCATCACCATCACTTTTCATATATCGTCAACCATCAATTCTACATTCTCTCAGTCTTTTGTACATATCATATAAAAAAGTTATGAATCTATACAGAAAGCAGAAATTCTCCAATATGATTCATCCTGCTTTAGTATTTTGTCCCTACCAAATAAAAAAATTGTGTTGAAGAATTGCAATAGAAATTTGATTACTTTGAAGTGTATTCTGTGTACGACGATGTACTTTATTTTTTGGCGCTGTTGATATAAACATATCGGCAGAACCAGGTGTTAGATGAACGAAAGATCAAGGTTTTTAATAAAGACCAAGGCAAATACAGTAAATAGAAAAACAAGAATAAAAGTTTGTTAGTAAGAGAAAAAACTACAGTATTTAAAAAAAAAGTAAGGTCTTTATCGTATGCGGATATTACGTATGAGACCGTCTTGCCCAATTTGAATTTTGAACCGACAATGTTTACTTATCAAATCCCACAAAAGACAAAATTTACCTAGCTGCTCAATATACACGTTGCAGAGTCCGAGAAAATCTATATTTGACGAAGGCTTTATCGTGAATTGCAAAATGGGAGTTTAGCGAATTTAGTCAAATGCAGTTTTTTAGGCTGCTCAAAGCCCGTTGTGATTTTATACATGTCCATGATTTTTAGAATTAGTCACACCTCGATTTATATACTTTAGCTAATTGGTTATTGACCACGGTATGTTGCATTGAAGAGATTAATTACTTCGTATTGGAGATTTTCAATGCTACAAAAGCAATTAAAAGTTTAGCGAGTTTAGTGGTAATGATGACTCTAATTTAGAAGAAGAGCTCTTAATGGTCATTTCTCCCAATTAAATAACAAAGATTCAATTTTTGCAACGGATAGAACTGACCTAGAACATTGTCTTAGAAATGCTGTCTTCCAACAGCGCTGAAATTCAACGATGCAGCAACCAAGGAAAACAGAAAAATTGTGATAGCGCTATTTTGTAGGGTTTTCAACGATTTGGAAAATACTGCAAAGAAATATTATTGCCTCGATGTATGGAAAAAAATTCTGGCATTAAAATCATTCAGTACTTTACATTAGCAAAAGCACGTTATATTCTAGATCTATTTATACTGGTAATACATTAAGTTAAGTGGAATTTATATGTAACATTTTATTACCTTCAAGAATACTAACTTGTTCAAATTTATTATTTTTGAGTTACGTTTTGTTTTTTATTTGAGTTTTCGCGCGTATATATGTCTTGGTATATATTTCTTGGTATTGGTTATTGTAAGTACAGTGTTAGCTTAGTTTTGAGAATGTCATAGGTTGTGAGTTGTTGGTAAGCCGCCCGTGGTTTTTATTTTTTGATGTTAACGGAGATTCTCTTTATACTCCTAAGGCTCTGCATAATGACTGGTGATAGTATTGCACTTTCGTTATACATATCTAGTGAGCTTTGCAAGACACATATGCAAGGACCGTCCTGAAATTATCGCCTATCTAAATCAAAAAAAAAACCCAAGACAAGGTACTTGAACCAGGTGGAGGACGACACCAAAACCCTTGGCATCGTCAATTGGAGATGAATGTCTTGTAACAGATCGGAGTAATGGTAGAAGAGACCAAGTCCCACAAACGATTGTCGAGCCATTCATGATGATGAAGTTATGGAGATACTAGAGTTGATGTCAATTGTATTTTTTCAGTATATAATACATTTTGTCTTTAGACACTTTTTGAGAAGCATGCTGCAACTACAAATTACGTTGACGCAACATCCAACTCCTTATGTTACATGTCAGTTGTGTGATCACTCAGTATACCGTCTAATCAGGTTGTGAGTTGTTGGTAAGCCGCACATGGTTGTTATTTTCTGATGTTAACGGATATTCTCTTTATACTCCTAAGGCTCTGTGTAACAACTAGTGATAGTATTGCACTTTTGTTATACATATCTAGTGAGCTTTGGAAGACACATATGCAAGGACCGTCCTGAAATTATCGCACTATCTGAATCAAATCAAAATTCCGCCGGAAAATGGCATAGGGGGCGACCCAAGACAAGATACTTGAACCAGGTGGAGGACGACACCAAAACCCTTGGCATCGTCAATTGGAGATGAATGTCTTGTAACAGATCGGAATGATGGTAGAACAGGCCAAGTCCCACAAACGATTGTCGAGCCATTCATGATGATGAAGTTATGGAGATACTAGAGTTGATGTCAATTGTATTTTTTCAGTATATAATACATTTTGTCTTTAGACACTTTTTGAGAAGCATGCTGCAACTACAAATTACGTTGACGCAACATCCAACTCCTCATGTTACATGTCAGTTGTATGATCACTCAGTATACCGTGTAATAAAGATAATCTTGATTGTTTAGCTCTTTGTAATTAAACAATCAGAGTTACTGATCGAAGAAATCACTATTTTAAAGAAAATTACAATTGTTAAACTTACGTACCATGAGTCTACATACAATTCCTATTGAATTTAGCAACTCTGATACTATCAATCAATATTTTGAGAATTAGAAGAGTCAAAGTTTGGTCTGGTTAGTTCTACGTAGTATTTTTCCCACAATATTTTACTGACCCCTTATTTTTTATACTTTTTCACAGCTCCATATAGAAGCTGACGATCACTAGTGATGGCTGTTCCCTCATGTTAGTCATAAAACTTTCATTTCCAACTTAAGTAAGTCGATCACAGGCAAAATTGTAAAAGTTGTAGAATGTACCTCGGCAATCGCTCGAATATGAGCTTCCTTCGTAGACCCACCGCATGTACTCAGGTGGTTGTAATTAGCTCTTTCATGTTTCTATGTATTTTATCCGTGTGGTTCTTCTTAATTCTCCTGTAAATGTCTGGATACAGTAGAGTCTTTATCTCGTTCTCATATTCCTATCTGCCTATCATCATAGTGGTATTATCTTTGTCTACAAGCAAAGCAAGACTGCGTAAAGCTTTTCCATCAGCAATTGTCAAGTAACATTTTACGATTTGACTGTTCTTAACACTTTTGTAAGATCTTTACATCTTCCGCTTTTGCTGCTGGTATCTTACAAATAGCTGTTTCCTCATTCCATATTATTTCTACTTTTGGCAATCGGATTCGAGCATTCAATATCTTAACTTGGACCGTTGCTTCTTCTTTTATCTGTTGAACGCTAGATATCATCAACTGTATAGCATTCAATTCCGTATTCAAATTTCTTGATTTGAGTTTTTCAACTTTTTTGTGATAATCTTGTTCTACTTTCTTTATTGTTGT